TCTCTCTCTCTCAGACACACACACACACAAATATTTTCTCCAACTCTGTGACTATTATTTTTATTTTCTGAAAAAAATACATTTTGATAAGCAGCAGTTTTTAATTTAGATTAAATGCATTTTATATTTATTATTATTTTATATTTTATAATTCTTATTTAGTACTTTTTTGCCCTTCAAATATAGTTGCATGTCCCAAATTCATATATATATATATTTCATTCAACCTATCATTCCTGGGACAAATCTTACTTAGTTAAGTGTTATCTGTTTTGTTTGTTGTTGATTTCGTTTGCAATTATTTTAAAGTATGTGTGCTGGCTAATTTCATGTCAACTTGATATAGGTTAGAGTCATGAGGGAGGGAAACTTAACTGAAAAAATGCCTCCATAAGATAAGGCTGTAGGCAACCCTGTAGGGCATTTTCTTGATTAGAGATTGATGGGTGAGTGCCCAGCCCATTGTAGGTAGGTACCCACCTGAGTAGTCCTAGGTTCTATAAGAAAGCAGGCTGAGCAAGCCAGAAGGAGCAAGCCAGTATGCAGTACTCCACCATGGTCTATACATCCGCCCTTGTCTCCAGGTTCCTGTCTTGCTTGCGTTCCTGTCCTCACTTCTTTTGATGGTGAACGTTGAGTGAAATAAACCCTTTTCCTCCCCAAGTTAGTTGTCTTTGGTCATAAGGTTTCCTTACAGTAACCATAACTAAGACAGAAATGGGTACCAGGATAATGGGGTATTGATGTGACAGGCCTGACCATACTGTTTGGTGGAGGACAATGGAAGGACTTTAAACCTTAGGTTAGAAAAGCTGTTGGTGGGCTGTTCTGTGGGAGCTTGAAAGAAAAGATTATTGAGAAAAACGCAGATGATGAAGCCCTGGCTCATGAAGTTCCAGAGAGAAGTTTGAGAGTCACTTAAAGAGGTTGTTGCTTATTTTGGGTTAAGACTCTGTGGTTCTAGTTAGCTGGGGCTGAAGAATCAGCTGTGGTTAACAAGATTCCAGAACCACTAAAGTGAAAAACTTTGTTTTGCTAGGATAATGTTCTGCTGGGGTAACTGATGCTGGTCAACTGCAGCTGAGAAATTAGTGGTGAGCAAGAAGAGACCGGGTAAAGTCTTCTGGGAAGTGTTCCGTCAAGAGTTAGCACACAGAAATTGTGTTCCAGAGGTGGTTGAGGTTGTACCTCATGGTGGCAGCTGAACTGGGTCATGTGTAAAAGTCTCCCAGGTAGTACTGGTTTTGAAGGTGTGAAGGAGTCATGGAGAGCATCTGAGGCTTAAAACTCTGAGAGGTCAGGAGAGGCCACTTGTGAATGTGCACCCTCAGTAGCAGTTCAAGGTCCAAGATTAAAGGAGTCATGAAGCAGAGGCTTGACACTATGAAAAAAGCCCAGGAGAGGCTATTACTAAAAATGCAATTCAACTGTACTGCAGACTTCAAAATTTTGGAGAGGCCAGTGCCAGGAGAAAAACATCGAGAACAGCAGCAGCTGTGGAGTCAAGCTAGCCTACACTTAAAAAATAGTTGTCATGTTCTTTGGATGGCTACCCAAGGCCTTTGGGGGAGGTCAGAGGAACATGAATGGATCCCAAACATGGAACACTGAGATATTTACAGTTAGAGTTTGGTTTTGATTTTATTATGACTGTAGTCTGGTTCTTCTCTTTTGAAATGAGAAAGTGTTTAATGTATTTTTTATTATTATTTTATAGAAGCCCACAGTTGAGCAGTTGAGAAACTTTGGATTTAAAAGAGACTTTGGGTTTTGTTTGTTTTTTCAAGAGACTGAACTTTTAAAGTATTTGAATTCCTACCTCTTGAAGTAAGAAAGTGCTTAATTAATTTATTGGTATTTTATGGAAGCCCAGTAATATTTCTGCGTTTTACAGAACTTTGGATCTTAAAAGAGAATGGATACTTTTAAAGAGATAGCATTTAAAGTGTTTGAGTTTGTAAGACTGTAGGACTTTTTAAGTTTGTAGAATGTTTTGTATTGTGATGTTCATATTAATGTGTGATATTAAGATGAACAAGAAAGGAACAGTTGTGGCTTAACAGTGATGTGTTTGTGTGTCAAGTTGACAAGGGGTTAATTGTGCTGACCAGTTTTATGTCAGCTTGATACTAGCTATATCATCCGACAAGAGGGAGCATCAATTGAGAAATTTCCTCTAAAAGATCAGGCTGCAGGCAGTAAGATTTTAGTGCATGTTCTTAATTATTGATTGATGGGGTGGGCCCAGCCCATTATGGGAAGATGCACCTGGGTTAATGGTCCTGAGTTCTATAAGAAAACAGACTGAGCAAAGCCATGGGTAGCAAGTCAGTAAGTAGCACCCCCAGCCCCATGTCCTCTACCCTTGGGTTCCTATCCTTTTTGAGTTCTTCAATGGTGAACATTGCTGTGGAAGTGTTAGCCAAATCAACCCTTTCCTTCTTAAGTTACTTTTGGTCATGGTGTTTCAACATAGTAATAGTAACCCTAAGACAAAGAGTTACAAAAACTATACATATATAAAACTCATATATATATATATATATATATATATATATATATATATATATATATAGATATATATATGTGTGTGTGTGTGTGTGTGTGTGTGTGTGTGTTTAACGGCCTAGAATTGACTTTTTGTAATGTCCTTCTCATGTATTGGCATCAGAGTTATTCTCACATTATGAAATGATTTGAATAGTTTTGCTTTTCTGTTTTCTTGGAGAACTTATATCAGACTGATAAATTTTTACCTTCTCAATTCATCAGTAAAGCTTAGGCTGCTAATAGATTTTGTTCAGAATTTTTCTTTCTTAGATTGTGAATTTCCAGTTGGGTCATGTGCATATTTATTTTGCCTGTGACTCTCTGAGCTTCTTGGATCTCTAAACAAAAATTTTAACCAAATTTGAGAAGTTTTCAAGCTTCCTTTATCTTACTGCTTTATGACTTGAATCTTTCACACTCTCTCCTCTTTCTTTCTCTCTCTCTCTCTCTCTCTCTCTCTCTCTCTCTCTCTCTCTCTCTCTCTCTCTCACACACACACACATACACACACACACACACACCCCTCTAGATCTAGATCTTATAATTCTATTTTTTTCAAATGTTTTCTTTCTCCATATTTAAAGGAAAGTTATACACAGAGGCTGAGCCATCTTCCTGTGTCTCTCTCCTGGAAACCCCGCCTTAGATTCCAGTTGCTCTGTCACCACCAGTGTCTTCTCATGCCTTCATCTATTAAGACTGTAGCTTTTTGCTGGATTTTCGCCCACTTTGGTCACTCAGACTCAGTTAACATCTTTAGTGGAAGAACTATAGAGACAGAATTCTCTTTAATATCTGGATTTTTTTTGGCTTTCCAGTACTCTCAAAAGCAGGTGTTTGTTGTCCTTGCTGCTGTTAGTGCATTTGTAAATACTGCTGAGATGGTAAGGCTGTCGATCTGTGGGAGACTCAACATAATACAAGCCACTCTATAACACTATCTAAAATAAGATTTTCCTAGGGGTTCCTATTTCAGATATTCTTTCTGAGTGTACTACTATCTATCATCTTAGTGCTAGCGCCAAGGACTGGATTACTGTTTAACTCTTCTTCAGTGTCTGTCATATGCCCAACATATTCCCATATTGTTGAAGTCATCCTAGAAAATATTCCTAATGCAGCTCCTTTATCTTTAGAGCCCTCTGTATCCCCTTGAGATTTAATCTCCTGAGCTTAGTGTATAAAGTTCTTCACAGTCTACTCTGTCACACAGGACCATTGCTATTGTGTACCTTCTACTCTGTTGTTGGGACACGTGAGAACTCTCTGTGCTTTGTGATGATACACTGTACATTGGAGCATGCATGCATGGTCATGTCTGTGTGCAGACGCCTGTGGTACGACACATGCATACCTGTGGAGATCAGAGGTCAACCTTTAGTGTTGTCAAACCTTAAGTCCCATCTACATTGTGTTTTGAGACAGGCTTTCATATTGGCCTAAAACTTCTTGATTCAATGAGTCTGTCTAGCAAGTGAGGCCCAGACATCAACCCGTATCCGCCTTCCTGCCACTGGAAGTGGGTACCACCATGACTGATCTTTCCACAAAGGTTCTGAGGATTGAACTCAGGCTTGCACAGGAAGTACTTTACCTACTGAGCACCCCACCCCCTTTCATGCTGCTCTCCCTCTCTGTGCTTCCAATTTAGGCCACTAGTTTTTATCTGACTTTACTTGATTTAATTATACAGTCTAATCCAAATACTGCCTCTTTAGGAAAGTCTTCCTTGGTGATGTGACCTCTGTCCTCATTATTTCCTTTGTATTTGTCTCAGTGGTTTCTATTGCTGTAACAAAATGCCATGAGTGAAAGAAAATTGGGGAGGAAAGGGTTGGTTTCACTCACACATCCATATGACAGTTCATCATCAAGAGCAGAGAAGGCAGGATTTCAATCAGGACAAGAACCAGGAGACAGGGCCTGATGCAGTAGCCATGAAGGAGGGGTACTTACTGGCTCCCCATGGCTTGCCCAGCCTCTTTTTTTTTTTAATTGAACACAGAACTATCAGCCCAAGAATGACATCACCCACAATGGGCTGTGTGCTCCCTCATCAATCACTAATTAAGAAAATGCTTTACAGTCCAATGTTATGGAGGCGTTTAGTCAACTGGGGTTCCTTCCTCTGAAATGACTCTTGCCTGTATCAAGTTGACATAAAATTAGACAGCATAGTATCCAAGTAGTATTTGGAAGTCTACATGCTGGTCTGTCTGTTTATCTATTATTTATCTATCTATGTATCATTTATTTCCTCTTAGAAGATTTTCACTGGAAGCTCTGTCTTTAAGTATCTTTTTAGTATCCATATGTTGCATACTGATGAGGATATTATAGTGGATATTTCCAGCAATGCTGATCTGGTTTTGCATATATAAATTAAAGAGCTACTTAAAGAGAGAAACTGACAAATTCTCATACTATTCTGTTTTTTCATGCTTCTTCAGGGATATCTGTTTCTGTGTCAAGCACACCTATTCAGTTCTGCAGGAATGGGGGAACCTGGCAAAATGGCAGATGCATTTGTACTGAGGAGTGGAAAGGGCTGAGATGTACAATTGGTAAGTTACTTGACTAATACTATGATGACATGTTGGTGAGCCTTTAGTTAGTAACAACAGCAGCAAAAAAGAAAAAACAACTAGAAGCTTTAGCTAAAGACTATAGACACAATAAGCATAATGATGATAGCACTAAGATAAGGATGCATGAATTCACCACAGCTGTGGTTATCTTCACAAGACCTACACAAGATTGGTCTGTCTACATTTCATCATGGATATCAGGGGCTCTTATGAGATTACACTCCCTCCCTGGGGAACTATTGAGAGTTAATTGTTGTTAGGGGAGGAGACATGATTTTCTCCAGGGGTGGAGCCACTGATAAATTTGCCCTTATCCCAGTAACTAATCTCTCATTCATGCTCCTGAGCAAGAAATTCTAATTAAACTCAGAGAATCAAACACTCAAAGAAGGCATGAAAATAGGCAGAGGACTGATTGGGAAAGGGATTTTAGAGGATGGGGGTAAGAAGGAAAGTAGGGATGGGAAAAATCTAATGTTTATTATGTAATTGTATAAAACTGCCAAATTATAAAACACAAGCATCCACACATACACGAAAAATATGATAAATGCTAAAATTGTGAGGTTTTTTCCCTCTCAACAATCAAAGCCATGTTTTCCTCTTAGGCTCTTTATGATAGAGACACTTTGCCCGTTTTCTAAATATCACTTTTTCTATAATTCCCAGGTACAATTTTCCTTTTGCTTCCAGCCTTTTAATCCAGGTCAACTTGCAATATAGTTTCTGCAAATCTTTTCAAGGAATTATATGCTATTTGACTCTCTTTCAGATGCCAGAGTTTTAGCATATTTCATTTTTGAATCACGATGAGTCTTTCTATCTAAAAATATGCTTAAATATATGCTTAATTCAGTCCTTTCCCTTGTGCTATTAAGTTTATGGTTTGATGTTAATAAATGATGTCAGAATCCCATTTCAAGCTGTTTCTGGATCTAAGTGTAGTTACCAACAGTTTTAATTCTCATGCTTCCAACTTGGAATAGAGTGTCTCCATCTACTCCCATTGTTTCTATTCCTTCCAGCTAATGCGTCCTACACTCCCATGATTGTCTTTTTGCTTTGATCCAAGATCTCATAAAGTCCTTTGCCATCAGGCAATTCTCTGGATCCTTACTAATCAATATATACTTCTTACTTATGTTCATGTTCATGCCTTCCCTCTAATCCAAGTCTGTATGGTGTATATTTCGACAGAAACCTGTTAGTTAGTGTATTTATTCTAATGGCAAAACATGTAAGCTGATAGAAAGTGTGGGAAATGAACTGGTCCATTGACTGAGTCTTTTTTCAATTACACTGCAAAGATTCTGAACTTCATCTTTTATCCCTTTTCAGTTTTCAAAAATAAAAGATATAATTTACTATGAGAGAAATTTGTTTCCATTACAGCTAATTTCTGTGAAAATAGTACCGACATGGAAATGAACCTCACCTTCGGGAGAATCCCAGTGGGCAGATATGGACCTTCTTTGCAAACATGTGAACTGGGAACTGTGAATGGTATGTGCATCCCCTGTTATCTCTGTTTTATCACAAGAAGGTTAGACTAAGTCATATCTGCCATTACCCCAACTATAATTAGGTCTCTGGACAAGACAGAAAGGAAAGTCTTGGCTTACTTTAATATCAATGTTTGAAGGTTAGTACAGAACTGGATAGAATCTTAATTTCCCTAAAAATTTTAATGTGGATCACTTGTTTCCAAACTCTTCCTCATCTGTGTTTAATTGGAAATTTTTTTCTCTAGCTTACTCTGTCCCATGGCATTTGTTGAGATGAATACCTATTCTGTGAGTTATAGCGTTTGTGTACAATATTTTAAATCAATATATATTACAGATTTCTTCTGTACCTTTTTATATGTCTTTCCAATTAGAGACTAAATGGAGTAGGTCTGTTGTCAGTAGTCCTTTATTTCTTTGGTCACTTTGGTTATTCATCATGGTATATTTCTAGTTTCATGATACTTTCAATAGTATGACAACCCTATGTGTTTGAGGCATTTCAAGAATCAAGGGGAAGATGTTCTGGTTCTAATAGGTTTCCAGACAAGAGTCAGAATGTGGATGACTTAGTACCACACTGAGAAAAATGTTCTGAGTGTAGACTTGATTCATCAAGAGAGCTACTTCATAATAACTAGAGCCTATTGGCCATGTGATTTTATTTAAATGTTTTACCCGTCTCTTGACTGCATTAATTTGTATCTTATTAGCTTTGCCAGTATCCCCCCCATTTCTTACAGACTGAATGTTTCAAGAATGCAGTCACTTTAAAACCCATTTATAAGAATGTTTGGCAAAGCTATCTATCATCAGTAACAGTGAGAGGAATTTCGTATTTTATTTAGATATTAACTTTGTGTATAACCAGACCACACTGAAATCCTAAATACATTATAGGATTTTTTTTCCTATATTCTTTACTTAATCTATAAGTGATCACTCACTTGTCCATGATCCATCTTACGCTTAATATATGTCCTTCCCAGCCTTCTTTTAGTTATGGTTACTATTGCTATGATGAAACACCATGACCAAAAGCAGCTTGGGAGGAGAGGTTTATTTCACTTACACTTTCATATCATCATCATCATCAAATGCAATGAGGACAGGAAACTCAAGCAGGGCAGGAACCTTGAGGCAGGAGCTGATGCAGAGGCCATGAGGGAGTGCTGCTTACTGGTTTGTTCAGCTTGCTTTCCTCTATAACTCAGGACTACAGCCAAGAGTTGGCACCACCCAGAATGGGCTGCACCTTCCCCATCAATCACTAATTAAGAAAATGCCCTACAAGCCTATCTGCAGCCAGATCTTATGGGAGTATTTTCTCAAATGAAGTTCCCATCTCTCAGATGACTATAGCTTGTGTCAAGCTGACATAAAACTAGATAGAATAAGCCTCTTAATATCTCAGAAAGCTAAAGGAACATGTCAATATATGTGTTATTACTATGTATGTTTTATAGACATACTATACTGTACAGCACACTTATAGATAACTGTCGTCTTCAATTTCTGTACTGTATCTACCTTACAATTTATGATTTATATACAAGATACAACTTACAAAGCATAACCACATGCTATGAATTGGAAAAATATATCCATGAAGGTCATCACAGCTGTTTGATATAATACTTTGGGGGTGCTAAGAGAGTCACAGTATCATCTTTTGTTTGATATTTATCTGATTCTTGAGCAACTATTATGAAAATGTTTATTATATATACCTTTGAATTTCAGACTGAGTCTATATCATTTTAAAGATCTATATTTCAACTGTTAACAAATCCACTTTTAATTCTGTGTTAAGAATTCTTAATTGTTTTATACAACAAGTGATTACAGTGCATTTCAATGATATCTGAATATATTCATAATTCAATAAATAATAGAAGAGGTGCACTTGATATGGCTTCTTAAAACATATAAATCCTATATGTGTTAAAACTTTTTATTATGTCTTGCTCTAGAGGTATAGTGATGATATAAATTAATGTAAACTCCAACCTATTTTAAGTGTCATTTAAGCAGTTTTTGATATCAACATCTCTCAAAAAGTGGCTGCCTTAATACTGACCCTGAGAAAAAGTTTCTCATGTCATTAGCCGCCCTTTTAATTATGATTTTACCTGTACCTATTATGCAATCATTAGTAATCAGATGACAATGAGGTAGAAAGTTCAGATGATCTGAGGAAACAAAACTGCCCAAGGAAATGCTTTACTGAGAGCCAATAGACTATCTAGCATTTGCTGCCATACTCTGGAATTCTTTGTCTTTTAGCAGTTGCTAAGGTTTGCACAGAGATAAAGGATTATCATATAATTTAATAGCCAGTAAGACATTTTCATATCGGTTCTGGTCTCAACATTGTATATCTTCATTGTGTCCAGTTCAAAGTTATTTCATTCCTATGTAAATTTTCTTCAGGCAAAGAGGGGAGTAAATAGCAACTGGTCATGACAGAAAGTCCCATTTTAAAAATCAAGACAATTGCACAGATTACTGTAGCAATTGGTTTTTTTATTACTGGATATTAAAATAACTCCAAATTCTCATCCTAAAACAATAATGCTTTAGGTTGCTCACCATTCTGCGGATTGATTGTGGCAGCTAGAATGTTCATTTGGGGAGCATACATGATAACCATTAGCTACAGCACCTCAGTTCAGCAGTATATAGTTTGTCTCAAAGGTGTCAGACTCACTTCCTCACATGTTACCATAGGAAAGCATTCTAACATCCTAAAATGGTAGAGACTGTAGCTGCGAGAATGTCTGAGGCCCAGGTGCTGAAAGTCAAGTATTTCCACCACACTCCATTGATCAAGGTCAGTCACAATTCAGCCCAGATTCAAGAGTGAATACATGCCGTGCCCAGCAGACTCCCACCCCCATGGAGCATGCATGCAGTAATTTCCATGTCTGACTTAATACATTTTTTTCCTTTTTATTGAAGCGGGCAATCCTAAAGCAACTCGGCTGTGTGGTGTTTCTGAGTATGGAGAGATAGAAGTACAAAATGTTATAAGAGGAAATTGCGAAGTAAATCTAGAGATGCTGGAGAAGCAGGTATGCCTTCTAGCACATCCATTGGGCAACTGGGATACATTTTAAGTCTAGGCCAACTCTTTGGTTTTCACATACCTAATGGTCAAAATCAATTATAAATCACAAAACCAATAAGTGAAACCATTCTTATTTGCTTAAAGTCGACATCTGTTTAATGTTGACATTTTGTTTCAGCAAATGGTAGCCTAGAAAAAATTTAAATGGCCTTATATTTGTAGACTGCTCAAACTTTGAGCATAGAGCCCTGGCTTCATAAACCAAAGATAGTCTACACCGTTAAAATGAATATAAAAAAATTGAACAATTCATGACTCTTTGACACAGACAGCTTCATATTGACACTAGTCTTAGAGCTATATCCATGAGCTAGTAAAATAAGGATTTATGACTAGACATGCTTCTATTCATCTTCATATATATGGCCTGAGGAATAGACAATTGAGTATGCATGGAAGTGCTAACTTGTATGGTCATGCAAGAAGAGGAAGACGCTGAAAACTGTGATCTAGGCACTTCTTTGTGCAGGTATTTTATATCTATCTTATTTCTTCTTTATCAAATTGGATACAATTTCCAGACTAAAGGTAATTATGGCTAATGCCACCAATGGATAATCATTTACTGCTACCAAGTTCAGATGATCCTGGACATAAAATGTGATTAAGACCTGATAAGCCCACTGTATATTTAAAATGTATTTAAATCACCTAATTACTCAACATCATGGTTAACCATGGCAGCATTCTCTCTAAAGTTGTCAGTTATCTTCATCATCTTGTGAATGACTAGAAGCTGTGGTTTGCTGCTGTCCAGAATCATGAAAGTGCAGCACATTTTCATGTTGTTCGAGTATAGGAAAAGGACAAATAAAAATTCAATGTGTTGTTAGTACTGAGAAGATCACTTCTGAATTGTAACACCAAAATCAATAAATATATAAAATGTAAACAAAACTTTGATTAATTGGAGATGGCCCTGTACCATTTAAAACATTTTAAGAATACTACTAAGTTTTTGAAATCATGTTTAAGTTTTAGACACTACAGATAAATATTATTATAGGTGAGGAAAAGTGAAGACTCTTGAGTGAGATGCTTTTACCAGGGACCATCGCCAAGCAGACGAAGACCTACTGCTGAATTTAAAATCCACAGTGAACCACAGCACCTTCCTTATCACAGATGGCTAGGATGTGGGTGGGTTGGGAATGGGAAACAGGATGTGCAGGTAGCTGTCAATCACACATTGAAAGAAAGAGTGCAGATTCTGAAATCTGACCAATCAGACTCTCAACTCTGTGATTTCCAAGCTGTGCAGACTTAAGATAAGCTTCTAAACCTCTCTAAGTCTTTAAGTGATATGTGGGAGCTCAGCTTACAGAACTATTTCCTATTATAAATTATGTTCGATCGTATCTTAAAACACCAGTGTGCCCAGCACTGAGACTTGGCTGTTGAATTCAATATTTTTTTTTTTCTGCTGCCTCCTTACAAGTGAGTACTGGTTTGATTTTTGAAGGGATGGTGCCATCTAGTGTAAAACTGAGTTCATTTCATCCTCACATGTTGACCCCAGTTCCACAGCGACATGACTATAGCTGTTCCTTGTTCTTCAAATAATGCAAGCAGATAGTAGAAAAGGAAGAAATCCCCTGGGCTTTGTGAACTGTGTTGCTTATGCAGAGAAAGAGGCAAACAAAGGCCCGGTTAAACAGCTCATTCAGCTGCAGTCATCTGCAAAATGTTTAGGAATGCTTGTATAAACTAGACTTACTGAAATCAACTAAACTACTTTTAAACAGATAAACAACATCACAACAAATGCTGAGAGTATTTCTAAAGAAGTTCAGGTTTTAACAACAGATGCCAGTAAACTGACGGCTAAGAACATCACTTCTGCTACTACAGTGGTTGGACAGATCTTCAATAAAATCGGAAACGCTGAAAGCGAGGTAAAACTCAAGATTTTTTTTTAATTCACTTTACATACCTCCTCCTCCTGTTCACCCCCTCCTACAGTCCTTTCCCCATCCCCCCCTTTCTCTGAGTGGATGGAGACCCCTGAATATTCCCCCATCCTAGCATATCAGGGGCTAGGCACATCCTCTCCCACTGAAGCCAGACAAGACAGCCTAGCTGGAAGACCATATCTCAAGGATAGGCAACAGCTTTTGGAATAGTTCCAGTTGTTTGAGACCCACATGAAGAACAAGGTGCATATCTGCTACATATGCACAGGTAGGTGTAGGTCCAGCCCGTGTATGTTCTTTTGGTGTTCTTTCAGACTCTTGAGGGCCCCAACGGTCGAGGTTAGTCGACTCTATTTGTTTTCCTGTGGAGGTCCACCCTTCCCCCTATTCCCCAAGCTGTATCCGCTGCTTGGCTGTGGGTGTCTCCGTCTGTCTGAGTCAGCTCCTGGATGGACCCTCTCAGAGGACAGCCATGCTAGGTTCCTGTCTGCAAGCATAACAATAATAGTGTCAGGGACTGTTGCTTGCCCATGGGATGGGTCTCATGTTGGGCCGGTTACTGGAGGGAATCTCAGTCTCTCCTCCATCTCCCATTCATGAATTTCTTATAGACAGGAATTGGGCCTGTCCAGTTCCCTCCTCCATCTTTCTCTTATGACTATTTTATTCCCCCTTCTAAGTGAGATTCAAGCATCCTTGTTTGTGCCTTCCTTCTTGTTTACCTTCTTTGGGTCTGTGGAGTGTAGCATGGGTATCCTGTATTTTATGGCTAATATCCACTTATAAGTGAGTACCTGTCATGCATGTCCCTTTGGGACTGAAAATCCAAGATTTTAAATCGTAAAAGGTGTTTGGGATTGTAGCCTATTTGATACTGTTTCATTAGCATATGCAGGACCTTAGGTTTGATTTTCAAAACTCTAAGATGGGAGGAAAATCCAAAATTCTATTCCTTATCCTCTGATTTTGAGTGGTGTTTAAGTTAAGACCATTGGGCAGAGAACCAACACTTCCTGGGGAGATGCTCCAAGAAGTTAAACTCCTTGTCTAAACGTCCTCTGGAATTAAAATGATGATTAGTATTACATTAGATATTACTGCATGTCTTGGAATAAACAAATCTCTTTAACTTTATTGGGTACAGATTAACAGTTATATTAAACTGTACCATACCTGTTCTGTCCCAGATAAACAGTTTTCCTATACACTTGCTCTGAAGTATGCCTTTTAAGCTCTACATTTTGTGCCAAGCATACTCACAGGTTGGTTTCTGGCTTTCTAAAAAGCCCTAAGCCAGGTTTACAGGTCTAATACAGGCCTGCTAAATTCTCAAACGTAAAAAAGGCAGTATACTCAACATTTGTCATCAATGGAGTTCTTGATTTGGTGAGCAGGGTTGTAAGCCACCCAAATGAAGTACATCAGCATCCCCTTCACAGTTTTCAAATACCTTCTTACAAAATTGTTTTAATTACCGAAGGTCCTTTGAAAAGAAGATTTTAAGTAACAAGATAATTAAAGCCAGAATTCAAAGAATGTGCACTTTTTTTTTGTAAAGTTTATAGTCGGTAAAGACAATGTAGGAATGAAAGGCCAAGATGCTATGTCTCTGACACTGAGTGTTTGATTATCAGAAAACAATTTTACTGATAGCGAAGTAAATACACCTGATACTAAGTATTTAAGTTATGCTAAGTATTGTGGGTTGTGAGGTTTGGACAGGTGGCACTGCAGCAATATTTGTGTCTATTTTTATCTAAGCCAAGTGTTTTTATGAGTGGAGAGAGCTCTGTGAATGATCTTATCATGAAATCAAATTCAAAGCCCTAAGCCTCCTACTCCGCCAGCTTCATTTACGTTTTTACTTCTTATCACAGGTCTTTCTTTTGTCTCAGAGAGGCCTCAAACTGAAACCTCGATTTAAAAAAATTACTTTTCTTTGGATATTATTGGCTACCATGATAATTCCTCATGATCGTACATCGTAAATGATAATTATACATGGCACATATCTTATTTGATGTGCCTTCTCCTTCACAGGCAAAAAAACTTGCTATAACCACAGTGAGTCAGATTTTGGATGCCAGTGAAGATGTTTTTCAAAAAGCTGCTGAGATCGACACTAGCAACTCCTTTACCAAGTAAGCAACTGTTTGGAAAGAAAGTCTGAGGAAGTACCATCCACTTCCTTAGGTTAAAGCATGACTAGAGGGTTTGCTTCTCTCAGGGCTGCAGTAACTGTCTGATGCTTTGAGAATTAAGAGAAAGCCCTTGACTTTCTACTTGATCTTGTTCTACATGGAGTGATATGTGCTACCTGCTTGGTTTGAGGTGTGCTCATGGGCTGGGAGAAAAATTGTCTGTGATTACTCAGATTACAGTTTGTTTCCTTCACCTGGGTCTGGTATATTCAAAGCAGCAGCCTCTGCATAAAGAAGGTGTTCTTCCAATTACCTTCTCAATGCCCAGAGCTGCAGAGGGCACGCGACTCCAGGATGTACCACACTGTCAGCCTACAATCCACACCGAAGCTCTCTCTTCCCAACAATTGAGAGGCTTTTTTCAGCTTTCCTATAGCTACTTAGGAAAAAACAAAAAGGAATTCCAAGCCCCCTCTTTTGCTTTCACTCATTAAGGCTATGTTCTTGATTACGAATGTCTACCCCCCCAAATCATATTTACTTACAGAGGTGGGTCATTAAAATGCAGTTTTAAACCTATTTTTATATTTAATAGTGCTTATTGCAGAAAAATGAGAAAATACTCAATGGGAAAATTTGTTGAAATTATTACCTCAATTAATTTGTTAGAGTATATTCCAAATATCTTCTCTATGTATATAAGTTCATGCACTCATACATAAGTAATTATATATAGTTATACATATTATATACATTATATGTTAACCTGTTGTCATTTACTATCTTAAAACATTTTAAAAGCTATGACTATGTATACACGCATGTCATAATTTTATATTACTGCATCCTACTTAGAGTCCATTAGCAGAGCACAACAGCAGAATGAAGATGTATTACAAAGGGATATTTGTTGAATTGACTTACACAATATAGGGTACAACAATGCTATGTACACACTCTAGAGGCTATGTCAGTAGCTGCTTAGTCTTCAAGGTCAGATGCCTCAGTCATCCTTTTGAAGGTCTAAATGATTTCTGGAGACCCACAATCTTTAGTTCAATTGGAAGGTCTAAGAATCTGGGTTCCAACATCAGCACAAAATGGCAGCAGCAACAACAAGGTAGGTGCATTCGTCAGCAAGCTAAGGAAGACAGGCAAGCTCGCTGCTTTGCCTTCCAACCTCGTCATACCTGGGACATGTCCAGAAGGTGATGCCCACTCTAGCAAAGGATCTTGGTACCTGTAGTTAATTATTCCTGAAAATACCCTCACAGGTCCTCATGGGGGTAGGGTGCAGATTAAGAGTGGAGTATGGCTATCTTTTAGTCAATTCTAGATCTAATCAACCTGACAATCACTATTGACTACTGGATCGTGAGGTAGCTCAGGGAGTAAGGTGTTTGTCATCAAGACAGACAACCTGGATTTTATTCTCAGGTCCCACGTGGGACAAGGAGAAAACTGACTTGCACAACTCTGACCTCCACATACATGACATGGACCCCATACATTACACACACACACACACACACACACACTCATACACTCTCACATTTTCACTCACAGACTCTTACACACTCTCATACACAGACACTCTCACACACTCATTCTCACACACATACTCTCACACGTACACTCTCACACACACACACACTCTCACACACTTACTCTCATATACACTCTCACATATACACACTCACACACACACTCTCACACACACTCTCACACACTCTCACTCTCACACACACACACTCACTCTCACACACGAACACATTCACACACACATACTCTTTCTCTTACACACACTCACATACACTCTCACTCACACATACTCACCAGCACACACACTCTCACCCAAACAAACGCTTACTCCCACACATATTCACACTCTCACCCTCCACATTCTCACCCCCCCACTCACCCCACACATTCTCACCCCCCACAAACTCTACTCAAACCCCCACACACTCCACTCAAACCCCCACATACTCTCACTCTCACCCCACTGGAAGCACACTCTCACACCACCCAACACACTCGCACCCCATATACATTCTCACCCCAACACACACATTGGCAACCCCCACACACTCTCGTCCCCTACATATTCTCACTTTCACCCCTCCACACTCTCACACACACACTCTCACCCCCCCACACACAATAACCCCTCCACTCTCACCCCCACACATTCTCACCCCCACACACTCACACACCCCCACTCACACCACCCACACCTCATACTTACACACACACACTCATATTCACAAATGCTTTTTTTTTTTTGGTTTTTTGAGACAGGGTTTCTCTATGTAGTCTTGGCTGTCCCGGAACTCACTCTGTAGACCAGGGTGGCCTCGAACTCAGAAATCTTCCTGCCTCTGCCTCCCAATTGCTGGGATCAAAGGCGTGAGCCACCACTGCCTGACTCACAAATGCTCTTTTATCTAACCAAGTCTGATGTTTCGTTGTCTTCAGATTATATCAAGCCTTTTTGTATTATGGACAATCAACATTCTGTATAAAATCATTATTTCTATGAAAAAAATATACATGCGTCCTCCATATGATTCTCAGTTTTTTGACTGAATATAGCCATTTAAGGTTAAACTCTCAAAGTAGAAAAAGCTACATATGAAACAGAGCACTCATTATGTTTCACAAGTAGTGTAGAAATTATCTAAATATACAGAAATAAATGCATAGATTATAGGCAAGCACTTCCATTCTTTATGGAATAATTTTTAAGCACTGTAAGATTTCAGTGCCCATAAGGATATGGGGCTTAGGAACCAATCCCCTGTGGAAACTGAGGGGCAGCTGTACTCTTAAACAGCTGCCAAGGAAGGTCTCTCTTGGTTCTCTTCCTTTCAAGTGAAGGGAATTAAATGTGCTCAGAGCATCTCTGGTTCTCCAAACTCTGTTTCTTGAGCCTATAAAAGGGTCTCTTCCTAAGCCAGGGCTCAGCCCCCGATCTCTTTTACTTCTCTCCCCTGTAACTCACGATTTTCTCTTTATGTTCCTCAGCCTCTGAATCCTCCTTCTAGCCTGTTTATTTAGGGGATAAGTGAAAATAAGAAAGCTGGAAACAAACGGGATGGAGAAGGATGGGGAGCAAGGACTCCATCCAGCCCAGCTTCAACCCCATCAAGTTGCCATAGTGAAGTGTCTGTTCTCTTCTGAACTGGCAGGGGCAGAATGCCCAGGTAGCCAGAGCTCTGAGGCTCTGAATAGTGTGTCTGTTGGTGGAGGCAATATGGCACAATCAACAAGTTTAGGTTTTCATTTTTCCTATTGAACACTGGTTGCAACAGCCAATCTATAACCCTGGATCCTTGCTGTTATATTGAGGTTCAAAATTCTCCCTAGTTGCCTGATTTGAGATGTAAAACTCTCTCTGTAACATAGTCCACTTTGTGCATATACCTTTCTTATTGTTTGAATTTCTGTTCTAGCTAGCTTTCTTAGACAACTAAGACAATTATCTACTGAATTTTCCCAGCTGTCTTAGTTATTGTTCTATTGCTGTGATGAAACACCCTGAACAAGACAAACTTAGGGAAAAAACATTTGATTGGGGGCTTTCTTATAGTCTCAGTTTCTTACAGTCTATGACCATCAGAGTTCGGAGGATGGCAGGCACTGGAGCGAGCAGTAGCTGACAGCTTACATCTTATCCCACAAGATAGAGGCAGAGAGAGAGAGCAAGACATGGACTTTTGAAACCTTAAAACCCATCTCCAGCAATACCTTTTCCAAGGCCACATCTCTTAAGCCTTCCTAAATAGTCCCCCAGCTGGGAACCAAACATTCAAATATATGAGCCTTTGGGAGCTATTCTCACTCAAACCGCCACACTGACTAAACTGAAATTTATTGTAAGGAGATGTAATGAATCTCACAGGAATCCAAGCATGGGATCGTAACAGAGTCAGTGTGAGTGTGTGCAGAGCCAGATCTTCCCTGGAGAGGGAGATGGCCAGTACTCCAAGGCGGCTTTGCAGTCTTCAGAAGAGTGTGGGGGCCCACCCTTATTCTCAACAGGAAGAAAATCGCCTCTTTTTCTTTTGTATTTATTCTTGCAATGACAGAATGGCCTGACTTTTTTTACTCCAAAATCTGGAACTTCCTGGTTGCATCTATCTCCCTGATTAGAAAATTACCAATTTAAAAACTGGATAGTTTGTTTCAGTCATGTATGTCTGTTTGACTGCTGCCTTTTTTATCAGACCAGTCACTCTGGGGCCCATATTTAACCTACTCAGTTATAGCAGGAGAGAAAAATCAAGCAGAGAGAAAATGCCCTTAAAAGTAGCTGTAAGTGAAATGACTTTCTAGAAGTGTCTGTGACTGTGGTAAACAACCCTGACATATTTAGCACACCTTTTCTCAGCCTTTGAATGCCTGGGGGTACTTTTATTGGTACCCCAGTGTTTCAGTATTCCTTAATGGAACTTATCAGGTACAGTGGAAGCAAATGATCATCTTAGCAGTTTGGAGCCATCATTGGGTAATTTGTTTTGATGAAAGATGTTCTCAGCTGTGAATATTATTTATTATGTGGGAGATATGTAGCATAAACTGCTGACAACTCATCAAATTGTATAACATTTGTAATTTAAAAGTCACCCTCTTTTTTTAAAATCTCTAGTTTAAGTTTCTTAAAAGACTATACTAATCAAAATAATTCATATTTTTCTGAATCCATATTTAAAATACAAATCAATGACATTCCACTGTCACTTTTTATAATAAAATATAATCAGCTAAAACAAAAAAAACTAGCACAATGGAATTAGGCAAAACAAAAAAGAGCCCAAGAGAAGGCACAGGAAACAGACACACTCATCCACACACTCAGGAGCCCCATAAAAACACTAAAGGAAGCTGTCATATGTACTCAAAGAGCATTCTTTCTGCTTCCTTTTCTCTAAGGTTCTCTGAACCCTAAGAGGAGGGACTTGATGACTTGATAAAAGCATCCCATTTAGGGTTGAGTGTTTCAAGGTCTTCTCTCTCTCTCTCTCTCTCTCTCTCTCTCTCTCTCTCTCTCTCTCTCTCTCTCAAGTCTGGGTGACTATGGATCTCTGTATTAGTCCCATCTGCTTCAGGAAGAAGCTTCTCTGATGGTTGAGTAAGGCACTGATCTGCAAGTGTAGCAGAATGTCATTAGGAATTAATTTAGTGCTGTGATTTTTCTGTTTTTACCAGAGCTGTAGTATCTGGTTTTACTCTAGGTCCTTGGGCTATCCTGTCTTAGGTTCTTAGTCACCTAAGCAGTGTCAAGTTATGAGTTCTATCTTGTGGAGTGGGCATTAAGTCAGTCAGTTATTGATTGGTTACGCCTACAAATTCTTGTCAACAAATGAAGCTTCCAGTACCAAGAATAGGTTATATTTAGTTGAATTGTTGGCCAAAAAGCTTCCATGGGAAGCTCCAAACGACCCAGGCTCTTGCCAAGACTTTCCACAAACTGAAGGTCAAGGTCCTATTGTTGAAGGACCATATCTACAAAATTCACTGAACATGGAGAAGTTGAGCTGGTGCCTACACATGTCCTTGACACCTGCATATTAGCCTCTTTTGTACAGGAAATTACTCTGCCCACCATCAAAGGAGAAACATAAGTACCAACCAGCCGAAACCCCTGATTCACAATGCTGTCCTGCCTGCAAGATATGCTAATGTAATGGTGCACAACGCCAGTGGGATCAATAATCATAGCATTTTTAAAAATTGCATGTGATAAGACAAGACTCTGGTAAAGAGAAGCAGATGTATATTTAAGTAAATGCATACACACATATTTAGTGATTGTCACTGTGACTGCATGGGATATGTGTTCCTGCCTTTTCTAGTGAGGTAAACACCTCTCTTGGGTTGATGACAACATGCTGAGTTCCTGTGTTTCATTCTATGACAGTCTTATCCAGCAAATGGAGGATTACTCCTTTTCTCTGGGTGATAAAACAGTGGTGGAGCCTAACATAGCAATCCAGTCCGTCACTCGAGAGGGTAATAATACAGGGCCAAGAGTTCTCTTCTCTGTACAGAAAGGTAAGCTGTTTGCCTCCTGTGCTTATAACAGTGAAGAACAGTCCACTGTCAATAACAATGCACAGTTCACCAAAACGCATATACTTAAAATTCTAATTTCCCTTTCTTATAGGGTCTAGTGATTCTCTGGTTTCTGGTGGAACATCAATCAACAAGATGGCAGATGCTCTCAACCCAGATGGACAGACTGAACTTCAGATCTTACTTAGTACTATGGAAAGTATGTCTCTAACCTTTTTTTTTCAATGTTTTTAAACACACTGAATCCAAAGGATTACTAACTTAAAAATTTATGAACAGAGGAATAACCCTTGTTTAGTTTCACACCTAATAATTTTGGCTCTGATATATTACAGTAATCTCAATGATACTATTTCTGTTTTCTCCTTACAAAAGTTGAGAACATCTTCCCTTCAATCTGAAGGAATCTAGTGCCAAGCCTCAATTCTTTTGCATGTCCCCTTCAGTCCTGGACCATCAACTGCAATTGAGGCTGCACCTTCACCAATGCCCTTCCATGGCCTCTCACAGTGCCGAGCCTCAGCTACTCTTCATGACCCCTTCAAAACTAGTACCACCTGGGTGACTCTTACACATTACCAAGTCCAGCCACAGCACGAGGTACAACCTTGGCTATCTCTGGAACACAGCTTCTTTGTGCTCTCAGAAAACCCTTCCCAAAGGATTTCACCTCAATGATGCTGGTCTCTTCTTAATCACCACTAATGTCTTAGCTCCAGCTAACCAGCATCGATAGTCCCAGTAATGCAAAGATGTCGCTTTAGTAGTTCCGGTACCTTGTTAATCACAGCTAATTCTTCAGCCCCAGCTAACCAAAACCACAGAATCTTCACAATCAAAATAGCAATGGCCCTGATAAGAGTCTTTAATCTTCAGTCTGATACTTCACAAGCCAGACCTCCATCTTCTGCAGTGTTCTCAGCATTATCTTCCAAGCTGCTACAGAACATCCCACGAGCTCTTAACATCCCAAGGGCTCTTCTAGCTCAAAGTTCCAAAGTCCTTCCACAGTCCTCCCCAAAACATGGTCAGGTTGTCACAGGAATACCCCACTATGCTGGTACCAATTTGTCTTGATTGATTTTCCCATACAGTATCCAGGAGGGAAAAAGATGTGGTGAGGCCAGTTTTCTGTGAGGAATGTGAGAAATGCATATATTTCCTCACAGGTTGAGGCTAGCACAGAACAACTAGCAAAGTAGTGACCAAGAAACTATTAGGACCTTGCCTTCCTCCTTCTCAAGTCCTGTGATGGAATGGACATGCCTTATGGCTACCATATCACTTATAAAAGAATGTGGCATGTGCAATTTTTCTGTTAAAAATGTACATTTAGGAGCTAGGGATATGACTCAATAGGTAAGAGCATTTTCTATGTGTGGATGTGGACCCCTGTACCCAGTTTGGATCCCCAGCACCCATGTAAAGAGCTGGGTGTGGGATGCATGTGCCCCTAACTTTAGCTCTAGGAGATGATCAGACAAGAGGAATTCGGGAACCTGTTGGCCACTAGACTAGCTCCAGGTACAGTGGGAGACCATGTCTCAAGAAAGCAATATGAAGAGGAATAGAGCAGAACACCTGGTGTCTTTTTCTGGCCTCAGCATGCATGTATGGGTGTGCACACTTGCAGATATATGATGAACTATGTATGCCATGTACACATACCCCACACATTAAAGATATGTGCTTATCATTACTTCTCCTATGTTGTATATGGCTAGCAGCTATGTAAAAGAGTTAAGTATTCCTCAACTAATTTATTTTGACCATTGCCATGGCCATGCAGGTACAACTTTCACTGTTGTAACCCACAGGTCCTTTAATAAACAGCTAATTCTTTTCTCTGATCTCCAAGAGAAGTGTTTTGCAATGGCCTTCCTGCTCTGAGATGGCTGATGCCTGACACAGAGCAGAGATGGTGAGGAGTGCCTGTACCAGCACCTCCATCAAAACTTCCTTCAAATGTGTTGCATAGTGACTTAAGGCATCTTCTCCACTGCCGCAAATGGTGGGCAGCACTTAGTGGCTTCTGTAGGCATAGTCATCTTGACAAACAGCAACCCTTTGCTATTTCTTGCTCAGTGTTGTACTACTGGGGGAAGCAGCATGAGTTGAGTCTACCCACAGGTCCTGCCTCTTGTCTTACTGCATAGAAAGTGACATGGTTATAAATGAGGCAGAATAAGCAGATATTTATCATCTCCATATAGGAGATGAGAAAAGGGAACCTCAGGAAGAAACCTATGGGAAGAAAATTAGCAATTAGCCAACTAGGGTAATTAACATTACATATGTTAATGATGCCTCTCATAGGCTTAGAGCCTAGACTGGTCTGCCAAGGTTTTTACACACATGCAGACAGACAGACAGACAGACAGACAGACAGACAGACAGAGCCAGTTATAAGCCCCAGAAAGTTTTATCTTTATGTTTTGACCAATTATAAACTAGTTTCCATAAACTCTTCTTGGATTTAATTTGCTTTGAAACTCACATAGCTCAGGTAGACACATTTACTGGATTGTTATATAGGATATTGCAAAGGATACATATGAAAATAAGTACAAGGTGAGATTTGAATGAAGGGGTACAGAGTTTCCACACCCTCTCTGGGAGTGTACCATATTCAGAAAGCTCCACATGCTCTGCTGTTTCAAAGCTGTCTGAACTTCATCCTTTGGGCTGTCCGTGGACACTTCACTGCATAGAAATAATTAACTGAACCATGGGCAAGAATTTGTAAATGTGAATGGACAGAGACTATAATCTAATGGAATCAGGAAATAAATGGAATAGGGAAATTCAGCAAGCCTGTCTGTGTATACTTCTAGTCAAGTCTGTGGAGTATCCCTGCCTCTTGGTCATGAGGTAAGATATTTATTTAGATGGGATCTTATAATTTACCAGATCAGAAAGGTCAGAGAATTTCCTGATGGCCAGCTTCAAAAGAGGCACACTACTTCCCAATGGCTTGCCTTGTCCAGGTAGTTATGAACCAAAAGCTGTGGACAGCAATGTTAAATATGCATTTTGTAATGTCAGCATACTATATTGCAATTAAGTAAAAGCCCAGCCAGTGACCTTTTTATTTTTACCCTACTTTAAATATGAGGGAACTATGCAGTTCCACAATGATTGAAACTTTACTTTAACCACCACAGAGTATGCCTGTTGATTTTATTGTCTGTTTTTTTTTCACAGATAAAAGTTCATGTGGTTTTGTGGTGTATCAAAACCACAAACTTTTCCAATCAAAAACTTTCACTGCTACATCAGATTTTAGTCAAAAAATTATCTCCAGCAAAATAAATGTAAGCGAACAAGCCCAGAAAGATGTTTCTGTGCAAATGATATTTAATCCCACGGTGAGTTTTTTTCATTCATCGAAATAAAAATTCTGTTTCCTCTTAATTAAAAAAATTGGAAGTTATTTTGATAAAAGAATTCTACAGAATCTTTTTTTGAAAAGTTTTTTGAAGTAATCATTTAAATGTTTATCTTATCTAATTTTCTGACAAACTAAAATAGAAAATTAGTTAATTTGATTTTGTATCCTGATATACTTTCTTTGGTTGGTTGGTTGGTTGGTTGGTTGGTTGGTTGGTTGGTTGGTTATTTTTTACTATATAGCTCTAGCTGGATATGAACTTGGAGCAGTTCTCCAGCCTCAGATTCACAAGTACTGGGATTCTAGCTTCATGACTTTTTATGCCTTTCTTCTTCCCTCAGGCTATAAGGAAGCTCGTGATGCATGATATGTACTCATTTCTCTTGGGACTCTCTTATCCTATTAGATTTCCCCCTATCCAATTAATCATTAACTGTGTCATCAATTCACAGTACGACAAAAGCGAATTCCAGCTTCATTCTTATGCCTGTGTCTACTGGAATTTTTCAAAAAACGACTGGGACACATTTGGCTGCCAAAAAAACATGAGCATCACAGGGTTCCTTGGCTGCCAATGCAACCACACAACCAATTTTGCTGTATTGATGGTAAGCATGCGCAAAACAACCTCTTATGCAACAAGGCTTTCCCTTATACACAGGTCTAGGATACATTAACCAAGGATAACGTTGAGGTATTATTTACATAGATTGTGAGCTCAGATAAAGTGGGAGAAGGGATAGAGTATAAGGCTTAAAAGGAGCATGCTCGAAAGTAGCAGAGGTCTTTGTTGTTGTTTTCAATGTGGTTTCAGGATAGAGATAGACACGTTTAGTTTAGCACTGTGGTTTTAAGCATGGAAAAGATGCACATGTGTGAAGCAGAAGTAGGCACATTCCACTGGACGAACTGTCTTAAGAGTGAGATCCTTGTGGAGTGGAACCTGGCCGTATGTAGGCCACTTGGATTTCCTGAACCTCTTTCCATTGCAGCTGTCCCAGTTGCTGTTCTTGTTGATAAATGGAAAAGAAACGCCCCTTGAATTCTTTACGTGTTTCCTATAGGTTCACTCTCCCTTCCTTAAGCTCATTAACCATCAAGCAGCCCTGTACAGGGGAAGAAGCAGATCTGACATAGGCACCTCCGACCACTGATAGGCTGGCCATTTTCAGAAGGTCTTCTCTACATGACACCTCTGGAAACCATTCTTAAAAAGCAAAGTGTTTGTTGGTTTGGATATGTGATGGAATAAGGACATGTGTGGAATGTTAGAATAGAATATTAACAGGGGTAGCTACTTAACAGCATTTATTCATGGATTCCTGGAGGGAAAACCGTGTTTTCATCCTGCAATAGCCGATGTGTAGCTGTGGTTAGGATGGAAATCCACAGAATACACTGACACAGAGTAGGTAAACAAATAGAACTTTATTTTTAGACGTTTTTGAGACAACGGTATCTCCCTCATTTTCTCTGTAAAGCTGCTCTTATTTTAACTACTTCAGTCTAGCTTGCATTGAGAGCAGATTTTCCTATCAGAAGACACTAGCATTAAAGTTTTCATTTTTGACACCAAGTCATAGTATTAGCTATGAAGATTAGCTTATACATTAAATGATACAGAAGCCATTGTAACAGTTATTATATATAAGCCTCCTGTTTCCAGGTGAGGCTTCCCCTACCTCTCACTAATATCTGCCTAACCACAGTTGTAAATAGTTTTAAGCTGTGAAATTTGTCAAATGAATAGTTGAATTGCAAACCAAGCCAAATAGGCTCTGAAGGAAAAGTTGATGATCGCTATTGTCTGTGACTCTTTGTGCATTGAATATGTGTGTGTGGGTATGTGTGTGCATGTGCGTGTGTGTGTATTGCCATGACACTTTTCTTTTAAATAAAGCTTATTATTTTTATATTTTCCTACAAAAATAATACATACTGATCATATAAGAAATAAAAGTTTACCTCATGAATAGAGTTCTATTTAAAATAAAAAATGTTTGTTAAAGAATATCTGTGAATAAGCATATATATACACATTTATATTCAGCTTTCAAAGCATATATAATCACATAAAATATACTTTGAAACATATATTTTTAGTGTGTGTGTGTGCGTGTATGAGTGCACACATATGTACATGCCAAGGCTTAACTTGTAGAGACTAGAGAACAACTTATAGTGATCGATTCTTTTCTCTACCATGTGAGCTGTAGGCATCAAATTGAGGTCACCACATTTGGAAGCAAACACACATGTATGCTAAACTATCTTGCTGGTTGTCTGGAATACACTTTTTTCTGTGCATATTTAAGAACCTGTTGGGCTATATGTAGATATATTTCACAAAATAAAACATTTTTAAAAATTAACAGAATTATATGACCAGTCTCTTCATGTTGAATATATGCCTGAACTTTATTGTAAGTAAATTATCATAGAAGTGTTCAGTAATACATGAAATCCTGCAGTCAATAGCAACTGTAGACAATTCAGGCCTAATATAAACAGCCCTGTCTTTTTAGACATCAACTAAAGTTCTCTCTCTCCCTCTCCCCCTCCCCCTCCCCCTCCCCTCCCCCTCCCCGGGGGGGGCGGGGGGGGGGGGGGGGCGGGCGGGGGG